TCATAAAAACATTGTACTGCTTCCCATAACTCTTCATCTTGGTGTTGCGCAACAACAATTAGATCATCACACGGAATATACCTTTCACCAAAATTTTTGCTCCCGCCTTTTGGTATTTTATGACCACGCTTTTCACCAGACATCCATGGATATATTTTTGGATATTTACTTCCTAGGAGCAGATGCACTACCATGCTCGTCTTTCCAGACTCTGAGGTGCCTGCGACTAACAATCTAAATGGATGCTTCGGAGCATAGATATTGCCCTTAAAAGATGTAGAATTATCTGGTTTGCAAAGACTGTAATACTCCATGAGTGTTCGATTTGATATAAAACAGAATCTGAAAAGATGATTATTAAAAATATCCTAATACTAACCAACAATGACTAATAAATTATCTTTGAACGATGCAATAAAAATAGCCGAATCCCGTGAAGGGAAATGTCTCTCTAAAGAGTATATCAATTGTGAAACTCCAATGCTTTGGGAATGTAATAAAAATCATCGATGGACTGCACAATTTCGTAGTATCAAAAACCGTCATTCATGGTGTCCTCATTGCGTAAATAAAAAACTTAGTATTGCAGTAGCCAAAGAACTAGCACATGCTAAAAATGGGAAATGTATTTCCGAAAACTATATTAATAATAATTTACCCCTCTTATGGGAATGTGAAAATGGGCATCAATTTCGTACCTCTCTTGCACATGTTAAAAACGAGGGTACTTGGTGTCGCGAATGTAAGAAACTTGGGCTTGAATTTGCTCAAAATCTTGCACATAGAAAAGGAGGTGTTTGTCTTTCTAATTCTTACTGCAATAAACGTAGTCAATTATCTTGGAGTTGTTCTGAAGGGCATTCATGGCTTGCCAAAATTGGCGATATAAAAAGAGGTACTTGGTGTCCACATTGTCGTCGCGAATCTGAAAGACTTGGTATTGAATGTGCCAAAGAATTAGCACGAAGTAAAAATGGAGAGTGTTTATCTATTACATATATCAACACCAAGACACATTTGCTCTGGAAATGTAATAAAAATCATACTTGGTATAGCACTTTTGCTAGTATAAAGTATAGTAACTCTTGGTGTCCCTATTGCTCTAGCACAAAACTTGGAATTTCGGAAGCTAAAGCCATAGCATATAGTCGAGGTGGAGATTGTTTAACAGATTCTTATGTTAATTGTAATGGTCAGTTACTCTGGCAATGCAGTAAAAATCATCAATGGTATGCTAGACTTTCTTATGTAAAAAATAATAATACATGGTGTCCCTACTGCTCAAAACATAAAAGAGAAAATTTGTGTCGAGAGATAATGTCAAAATATCTTGGACCGCCATCTAAGATACGTCGACCTGATTTTCTTAAAACTTTAGATCACCCAACTGGATTAGAACTTGACATTTATTACCCGCAATATGGATTTGCAACTGAAGTGCAAGGAGAACAGCACAAAAGATATATAGAATTCTTTCACGGAGGAGATCCCAATAATTTTATCAAACAGCAAGCACGGGATCAACTCAAGAAAGAATTATGTGAAGAAAACCGGATTGCCTTAAGGTATGTTTGGTATTATGAAGACCCATATGTAGTTATTCCTGAGCATCTTCGAGAATTGGGTCTCATTGCTCCATAGTCGTTACACTTGCATTATTTTTCATAATGGACTGTAAATTTTGTGTTTTATAAGATATTGCATATAGGTTATAACAGATATTGGGATCATGTTTCATGATGCATACGAAAATAATAAACCAGGAGACTGGATTATATCACAACTCACAATCATATATGCACTACAATGATTTATTTAAAACGCAAAAGCGGTAAAGTATTTTACTATTTATAATTATTGATTACATATTAAAATGATAAAAATAAACTGATTATTCCATAAAAAATAAATTTGGACGTTAAGCTAACCACTCGAAGTTTGTCTATCAACTATTTAAGTATCTTTTTTATTTGAGGACTATTTGGTAAGTCTCTCATATATCGTATTTGTAGTGGAGTTGTTTCACTTTGGCAACCTCGGGAATTGTAATCCTCAGCAATTTTGCTGACGCGTTCCTACCAATCAGAATATAAACAAAATATGTCGTTAGCTGTTTCATTGCAAACTTGAAAATGAAATATGTAGTATATATGAACCTCTAACGCTTTAAGATGACGGATATTCGACTCCATTAAGGGAATGGTTGTTTTATCCTTGATTAATCGTGTAGTTAAAAACGGCCAAGAGCGGTAGAGTCCATCATACCTTAGATCCATTATATGAGACTCTAACAAATCTCCTGAAGGCATTGTTAATATATTTAATTGAAGTTAAATCCAAATACAAGCAAACATACCCTGATTTGTTAGTAAGACCACTTCCTCTGGTCCACCCTTTGCTCTTATTAATTGATTGATTGACTTTCGCGCTCGCAACTGTACTTTTAACTTGTCCTTTTGGCCTTGTAGAGACGTGAAGCCGGATGGCTTTATTTCCGAATTCAATATCGGAATATCATTAACAAGACACGAAAAGTCGGGTCTTGTCGCCGTACCACTAGTAGAACGATTAAGTCGAATAACGTATTCTTCGCATGAGTCAGTGAAAAACAATGGACGGATAATGGGATGTAGTAATTTGAAGCAGTGCTCGTCCTCTGAAGTTTTTGTTGGAGCAACTTTAGGAACACTGCTACACCTGTTATACATGAAATAAAAAGTTATGGCAGATCCGATCTCAGTTTTAGATATGTTATGGGATAAAAACTTACATGTCATTAAATATTCGTGAGACCACCCGCCCGATTTCAGAATCTCCCAAGGATAAAAAAGGGGCCTTGCCTTCCATGAATTCGGCCAAAGAATTCCGTAAAGAGAAACATACATCCGGTGGCAGTACCGGTTCAGTTATAACATAGGGATTCTCAAGTGTAATCGTCCGCCATTCCCGAGTGGTGAAAATATGATTAGGGTAGGGGCAAGGCGAATTTAAGACAATTACGGAAGACAATGCCCTATCAAGCATAAATAGAAATCGTTAGCATGACACATTATCCAATATAATCATTGCATGTCCAAAAATACTTACAACACTTCATGGAAATCACACCATTTTAGTCCATCAGTCTTCGCTTTCTCGAGTACTTCTATTTGATATTTTCTAAATCTTTGCGATACATTTATGGTATCGACTTCCCACTAAAAACGGATGTAAACTGTTGAGATATGAAGAATAAAAGCACCAGAATCTTGATATGTACCTCATTTGATTGTTCTTGTAACAATTCTTTTTCAATGCTTGTAAAATCAAGCTTTATTTCTTCGTCATCCTCGGGCCCTAAGTCAGAAGAGGACGACTGCTCAGAAGACTTTTCATTATTATTATTCCGAGTACTTATCTCTGAAGCATTTTTTTTTGATTTCCGAGTATTTGTTTTTGAAGCAACTCTCGTTGTAACTTTTTTCGTCTGAATATAGAAAAAAACATAAGCTTTTACGTTCCTGTAGCTTTACCTATAATCTTTTACCTTTTCATGTGTTTCCAATTCGACTCCTTCCTCTCCTTCATTTAAAACTTTTTGTGAGTGTAAATCACTAATAGGCTGTTCATAAAAAAAGTATTAGGCAATAAATACAATCTTATATAAATCCTGATTTTGAAGCTATTAATGTTGATAATTAAACAATGTGAATACCATACCTCGCCTTCCTCGTTGAGAATGTTCTTTTCATCCAATTTCGGACGTTTCATAATCGCATTTGTTCGATTTTGTTCAGTGGGGCTTTGAAAAAAACTATCGATCTCATCCTACAAAAATGCGAAAATTTAATGTAAAAATATAAACTATTGCGAAAACACTAATAGAATACCTTTGAAGAGCGATTGTTACCTTTTCTGTGGGTGTATCGTTCTTGTCTGTAGTAGCTTTTCTCTTGACATTCTTCCTATCCGATAAAATATCCAACTTTGTCTGGTTCAATATAACCTGAGCCTCATTTCCGGCTAAAGTTTGATCCAAACCAAATTGTATCTGCAAATAGTAGGAAACTTTTAGTATAGTTCATATGCACCGATATTCAAGTTAAACTACAAATACCTCGGCTCGATCCATTTTCCTCCTCATTAACTGTTCGTCTTTCTCGACTTCCTCCAGAAATAATTAGTAGATTCCCATTGAACCTGACACTTAAAAAGCAGAAATAAATTAAAATCTACTAAAACTCGTTTCAATACAATTAAAGGACATTCAGAAACTGCGAATGAACGAGTTGTTCTTGACACCGAGACGAGTTGTCTCTAGCCTTCACGCAGATTTAAATGAAGCCCACCGGAGGAAGTTTCATAACTAGTCTCCATAGCTAACCTAACGCGTTGTTAAGTTACTTAGGCGGTTGTTTTGACAGCGTCCAACTTCATTTCTATTCCCTCACCACTTTGTGTCAATAACGATCTTAAATATACTCACGCTTAGCTCTTTCTTAAGGATGGAGGCCACCTTTCTCCAATTTTCATCTGCATTTTCTGCAACGTATGAAACGAACTTCGATATAAGAGTATGCTCGACCTTCTTATTGAACGAGAAATCATCTTTTGTCTTGCGGAATTTTAAAATGGAGAGAAGGGAGAAATCTTCGGGGACCAAATCATTTTCCCATCCTTTAAACTGTAACGGAGTAAGAAAAGATAAAATACAATAAAACTTCCTAATGTAACCTTAACTTTATTGAAGACTTACCATTTTATCGAAATTAACGGGCATATGGTAGTTACTTTATATTGGTCGGATAGAAAATATAAAAGATAAAAAAGAGCAGTAACGCGACTGAAGCGTGTTAATCGGTTACGCAAAGGTGAGTTCATTGTGTTACTTTTGATTTACATCTCGCATAACCTGACGATTGTTTTCTTCCTCATGATTACATCAGTTTGGGAATACATTACATTCCGGCCAGCTTCGAGGGCGCAATAATTTTTCCTGAGCCATAGATTTGCGTTTCCTATTTAACGAATTCTCATATACTTCTAATTTATATGACTCAATTCGACCAGACTCCCCAGAAATCATTTCTAATGGAACAGGGTTTTTAGAGTGATTTAAAAGACTTTGATATGCTCTTTTGACTAGGCTATCTGGAAGTCTATCAGTAATATGTTTATAGTCGGAATGGAACATTTTATAAGATATAATTTTGCACAAAAAAAAGTTTGCACGCAAAATTTTACCCATAGCGATATTATTATCATAAAAAATCAAGAGATGCGAATAAAGATGCTTATGTCAATGATTTTATTAATCGGATTCTAGCAATACAAAATATTTTTACATTATCAAATTTACGGATAGTAAATTACTAATCATCTAACAATAATATTCAGCTATAACACTTGGCTATAACTACAATTGCGGTTGTGAAGTAGAACCATTACTTTCTTCATACGGTGGTGGTGGGGATTGGTTTCTTCTTACAATATTTTGTTCGCGAAGTCGATCGTATTCCGATACTAGAGAAAAGTAAAAATCTTTGATTAGTTACCTACGGTTAGAGATGTTAACGGTCTAACGTTAGACGGTTCAGACCGGTCCTAATCATAGGACCGGTTTCGGTCCAGTTTGAGGGGTAGACTGGACTGAGATCAGATCGACAGACTGCGATCTTAAAGAC